GTTGTTTTGGTTTGATTTCCAAAGCTGAAAATTGTTTTCCTTTTGCTTCTTCTTTTTTCCATCTTTTTTTGGTAACTCTATCGTATTCCGCGGATTCTAACGTCAAGCTTTTGGTGCTTTTCAACGGCGCCACAGAAGTCGCTTCTGGCGCCATGAAAAGTCGTCGTTCAACAACGCCACAACAGTTTGCAACACCTTAGCGCTTGATTCCTGTAAATTATTCGTGTAAACTACTCAACAATGTCATCATTTCGACGTCAGGTAAAAAAAAAAAAAGATTTTTTTGACGTTTATGTTTTTTTTTTTTTGTCTTTTTTTTTTCTGTATGGTGATCAGCAGTTTTAAAACAGTTGTTCACAATTAAAAATTTGAAACAATATTTTTTCGAGAGGTTGCTACGAGGAGTTTCATTGTTCTTACACACTGCTGTATGCTGAAGAAGTCAGTTTTATGAGGGTATTCTCTGTTTGATCAGCAAAAAAAAAAAAACAAAAAATCTCTTTATCTCTGCCTATATCCTTCTATTTAGTCATATTGAACTTAACAGAAGCAAAAAAGAGAGAAAAAAAAAACAAGCTTCTTTTTACCTGAAAATATTCGCTTATTGATAGAGCAGCCTTCGAAGCTGTGTGTCTGCTTAAGTGCTACCGCAGTTTCAGTAGCTGAAGTAACGGCAATAATAACTGCATAACTGTTCATATCACTATGCGTCTGAAATTTACTTCACATTTCCGAAGACAAGTCTGTTTTTTTTTCTTTTCATTTTTCTTTTTATTTTTTTTACTGTAAACAACTATATTCAAATTACGAGTTAAAATGAAAAGAGGAGGAACGAAAGGAACTTTTTTTTTTATTTGAAAAGAATAGAAGTTTTTTTTTTTGACGTATATAAGGAGAGCTTGAACTTCATCAATCTTTTTAAAGCTAGTCAAGTATAGGAAAAAAAATTTTTTTTAATAAATAAAATATACGTGAAGAAAGAAATGTGCTTTTTAAATAATCGTTTAACAAAGTTACAAAATGAAGAAAAATTTTATGGAAACATAGTCAAAAAATTTTTGATTTGATTTTCACCGCATATTTTTTTTTCCATTTCTTTTTCTTTCTTTTTTTTTTTGCGGCGACGACATTTACTGCTGCATTGAAAAACGGGAAAAAAAAAGGTTTAAAGTTTGTTGGCTGTGGTTTTACCCGGAGAGTAGGAGTAGAAGTAGGAAAGCGATTTGGCCATAATCGTTGCCAATGAACTCGTCGAGTTTCCCTCATGCGTCACTGGACCTGAATATTTCTTCTCCTTCTTCCTCTTCTTCTTCTGCCGTTTACTTCTTCTCTCACTGGGTTTAAATCCATCTGCCAACTTGGCAGGTAACTCTGTAAGGTGAATAATTTTTTCTTATTTTTTTTTTTTTTTTT